CCTTCCATCCCATTCCTCCCGCCGGGAGCGGGGAGCTCCTTCCTCGGGGCTGTCCCAGGACGATCCCAAACCCTCGGTGACCTCCAGCTCCTCCTCGCTCGAGGACAAGTGTCCCTTGTCCCCCTCAAAGCCTCATCGCTGCTGTTTTTAGCTCCTCTCGGCTGCCCTGAGTCACCAAGCACATCCCAGAGGGTACAAACAGCTCAGGGAGGAGTTTGCCCAGTTTGCCCAGTTTTCCCAGCAGGAAAGGAAGGACGGCCGGGATGCAAAGGAGGGCGCCAGGAATGCGGCAGCTCCTCCGGCACGGCCCGGGGCGCTGGGGCTCGCCCGGGGATCGCGGGGTGAATCACGGGGAGCAGCTCGGGGGGGACAAACACGAGCCCTCGGCTGGTGTCACCCTGCGCCGGTGACACAGAGGGACACAGATCCCCTGGGGCTGGCCCGGGAGGGGACACAGGGCGGCACGGGGAGGGGGTGTCCCCTCGCTGACCCCGCGGTGTCCCCAAAGATCTGTACACGCCCCCCGAGTCCTGCGAGGGACGCTGCGGGGAGCCCTTCAGCGAGGAGGACGAGTGTCATTGTCACCCCGAGTGCGGGACACAGCACAACTGCTGCCAGGACTACGAGAGGCACTGCGGGCCCGGTGAGCGCTCGGGGACCGGGATTTGGGGTGTCCCTTCCCCTGCTGGGGGTGCCAGGGGTCGGTCCCGAGCCTCTGCGGGGTCCTGGGGAGCCCCCGGGGTGTCCCCAACCCCCTGAGATCTTTTTGCTCTCGGTTTTGCAGGTGGGGAAGGGGCCGAGGGTGGAGCTCGGAGCCGCGGTGAGTCAGGAGGGACAGGAGCTCCCCCAGGTGCCCCGGGGATGTCCCCACCCTGGTCCAGGGATGTCCCCTCTGTCCCTCGGGTGTCAGCTCCTTGTTCCTCAGTGTCCCCCCTGTTCCTCGGGTGTCCCCCCTGTTCCTCTGGGTGTCCCCTCTGTCCCTCGGGTGTCACCTCCTTGTTCCTCGGTGTCCCCCCTGTTCCTCTGGGTGTCCCCCCTGTTCCAGGGATGTCCCCCCCCTTCCTCTGGGTGTCACCTCCTTGTTCCTGGGTGTCCCCCCTGTTCCTCGGGTGTCCCCCCTGTTCCAGGGATGTCCCCCCTGTTCCTCTGGGTGTCCCCCCTGTTCCTCTGGGTGTCCCCATTGTTCCAGGGATGTCCCCCCTGTTCCTATGGGTGTCACCTCCTTGTTCCTCGGTGTTCCCCCCGTTCCTCGGGTGTCCCCCCTGTTCCAGGGATGTCCCCCCTGTTCCAGGGATGTCCCCCCCGTTCCTCTGGGTGTCCCCCCTGTTCCTCTGGGTGTCCCCTCTGTTCCAGGGATGTCCCCCCTGTTCCTCCCGTGTCCCCCCCGTTCCTCTGGATGTCCCCCCTGTTCCAGGGATGTCCCCCCTGTTCCAGGGATGTCCCCCGTGTTCTTCAGGTGTCCCCTCTGTTCCAGGGATGTCCCCACGGCCACCTCCTGTCCCCTGGTCCTCCCTGTCCTGGGATCCCGCACATCCCCACTGGTTCCCCCTCACTTTTCCCGGATCCCGCTGAATCCCCCTCACTTTTCCCTGGATCCCGCTGGTTCCCCCTCACTTTTCCCTGGATCCCATTGAATCCCCCTCACTTTTCCCTGGATCCCGCTGGTTCCCCCTCACTTTCCCCGGATCCCACTGGTTCCCCCTCACTTTTCCCGGATCCCAGAGCCGCCCCCATCCCCTGCCTGTCCCCACAGACGGATTCTCCAGCAGCCGCGATTCCATCACGGAGCAGGAGCTGCTGGAGCTCTCGGAGCAGCTTTACCTGCTGGATCACAACAAAGCCCGGCCCGGTGACATCGCCATCAACCCCCAGCACCTGGCGGGCCCCGACGAGACCGGGGACAAGCGGGACCGGTCCCCGCAGCCGTGAGTGACACCGGGGCAGGGCCGGTGCCCCAGGGCCGGCGATGGGAGCTGCAATTCCCCTTCCTCCACCTCCCCCAGGCTCTACAGATACGTGAACGAGGAGCTCTTCTCCAAGCCCACCTACGCCAGCTTCATTAAGCTGCTGGATAATTACCAGAGGGCCACGGGCAGGGAGGAGGAGGTGACGGCCGAGGAGCTGCGGGAGCAGGATGGATTCCTGCAGGAGGTGATGAAAACGGAGCTCATGAAGAAACTCTTCGTGTTCCTGCAGGGGAAAAGTGAGTTTGGATCGGGGCAGGGATGGGGAATGTCCAGGGAATGACCCAGAGCTGGGGGTTTTTCACTGTTTTCAGCGTGGGTTTGGGGTTTTTTTCACTGTGGGTTTGGGGTTTTTTTCACTGTGGGTTTGGGGTTTTTTCACGGTGGGTTTGGGGTTTTTCACTGTGGGTTTAGGTTTTTTTTTCACTGTAGGTTTGGGTTTTTTTCACTGTGGGTTTGGGGTTTTTTTCACTGTGGGTTTGGAGTTTTTTCACTGTGGGTTTGGGGTTTTTCACTGTGGGTTTTGGGTTTTTTCACCGTGGGTTTGGGTTTTTTTTCACTGTGGGTTTTGGGTTTTTTCACCGTGGGTTTAGGTTTTTTTCACTGTGGGTTTTGGGGGTTTTTCACCGTGGGTTTAGGTTTTTTTTTCACTGCGGGTTTGGGGTTTTTTCACTGTGGGTTTAGGGTTTTTTCACTGTGGGTTTTGGGTTTTTTTCACTGTGGGTTTTGGGGTTTTTTCACTGTGGGTTTTGAGGTTTTTTCACTGTGGGTTTGGGCTTTTATTCCCCCATTTTCTCTGTGGGTTTTTGAGGTTTTTTCCCCGTTTTTCCCCCTTTTTCCCGTGCTCTGCTGGGCACCGGGGACTGGAAGAGGGGGAGCCCCCAAGGGAAGCCGCAGCCGGGTGGGAATGAGCTGGGACGGGCACAGGGATGAGGGCAGGGAGAATTCCCGAGCCTCTCCCGCTGCTCCCACCGTTCCCTGCAGACCGCTACAGCTCCGAGCCGGAGTTCCTGCAGGATTTGAAGGAGATGTGGTTCGGCCTCTACTCCCGAGGGGATGGAGAACGGGATTCCAGCGGCTTCGAGCACGTTTTCTCAGGTACAGCCTCAGCAGGGCCGGGCTGGGGGCAGCGCCGGGCCGGGGGCTCATCCAGGAATCCCCTCTGTGTTTAGGGGAGGTGAAAAAGGGAAAAGTGTCCGGATTTCACAACTGGATCCGCTTCTACCTCCTGGAAAAGCAGGGCGGCGTCAACTACTTCAGCCACAACTTCAACGGGCCGGTGAGAGCTCCCGGGGGTCCGGGGCACCCCACAGGAGCCCCCAGCACCGGGGATGCTCCCCCTGCCCCATCCCCGCTGCTCCGGGGTGGGAAGAGCCGGGACAGACAATGCCAGGGGCAAGAGAGGTTCCCAAGCCTGAGGGAGAGATTTGGGGCTGGGGGGCTCTGCTGGACCCCTCAGCCCAGCTGGGAGCCGCTCCGGATCCTCCCTGGAGGGGCTGTGAGGATTTCTGGGTGGGCTGGGCGTGGATTCCCGGCCCTGCTGAGCCCAAATCCCGCTCTCTCCCAGTGGGACACGTACCCCGACGTGCTGGGGCTCCAGTTCAGCTGGGACGGCTTCTACAAAGAGGTGGGGTCGGCTTTCATCGGCTGCAGCCCCGAATTCGAGTTCGGCCTCTACTCCCTCTGCTTCCTGGCGCGGCCCGGCCGGGCGTGAGTGCTGACCCCGTGTCCGTCTGTCCATCCCGAGCCCGGCCCGGGGCCAGCGGGGCCGCCCTGAGCCCCGTCAGAGCCCAGGACTGAGCGGAATT